TTTTTTTATTCAATTTGTGACATCTTTATAAATCAAATCAATTTTTTTGTCTTTGATTTTGTTTAGTCGGTGGTGGCACGAGTTTTGATATTGGTTGTCAATCGTTGATTGTTTTTTCTCTTTTTTTTTTTGGTTTTTAATAAGAATAAGTATGTATTTGTTATACATTTATATTTGCCTTTGTGGTAAATTTATTTCTGCCTTTTGGTAGTTTTCGGTCGTTTGACTGTTATTTTCTTTTATCATTTTTCTCAGGGTTGGATTTGACATCGTCACGACTAATCAGGATGTCGCTTATTTGTTATCATGTTGATCTTCCATGTTTTGGACCCTCAGATTGATTTGGATACACATTTTGCGTTCGTGGATAGTTTTCTCACGTCGCTTGACTTTGATTTACGATTTTCAATGGTCTTTCAATAGCTTCATCCCCTTTTGTGGTTCGTTTGCCGAAACAATCAGATTTGTTTGGGCATTTTGGTTAGTTTTTTTTAACATTTTCCTTCTTAGGATCTTATGAGATCTATGTGGCTATTTTTTATGTCAATGGTTTTAAGAAAATGTCCCAATTATAATTTACTTTACGTTTATAGTTATGCTTGTAATTTTCATTATAATTCTGGATATTTTTTTAATAAAATTAACGGTTTTCTAAAATATATTTTTATATTAACTAATTAAATATATTTTATAATTAATTTAATTTAAAAATATTTTTAGTTTTATTTTTATTTAAAAATATATGTCTTATTCTTATTTAAACTTTTAAAAATATATTTTATTACTATTTTAATTTTTTAATATATATATTTTATCTTAATTTACTAAATATATTATATTTTCACTTTAAATTATTAAATATATTTTATTATTATCTTAACTTCAAAATATTTTTGACATAATATATATATAAATTAAAACTAAAATAAAATATTTTAAATTAAATTAATAATAAAATATATTTAATAAGCTAATATAAAAATATTTTTTAAAGTTAACAAATATAAAATATTATGAATTTAAGTTAAGTATTTATACACTAAGATACAAAATATATGTGTCATGTTGTATATTTTAAATTAATCGTTGGTCTTGGTTCAATGGTTAGATATGTGCTTAATTTCCTAAGTGACTTAGATTTAAATCTTTTTGGCTCAAATTTCAGTTAGATGACTAACTTTATTTTAACTTAGTAAAAATATGACTAAATTGAGAGAATATGTAAATAATTTAAGACCAAATATGTAATTATATCAAAATATTTAACGACAGTTAACTCGTGGTGATTACATCTTAATTAAATAAAAACAAAATTAATCATATATTATATTTTTTAAAATTAGTGAAAAATAGACAAAACACAAACATAATCAATTAATTATGTAGTTAATCAAATTTTTATTTGGGCCACCAAAGGTTAATTTGTGAACATTTGATAAACTCGAGGATCATTTAGTATATTATTGCCTACAGTACTCCCAGGAGGAAACGAAACAAAACACAATTAGAAAAGCCATCAAATTTCATATCGTCTTGTCAGGAAATCCTAAGGAGAGAAGGGAAGATGAAAATGAATCTCCAAATATCAATCCCTGTCAACCCACTTTCCCCTTCCTCTATTTCCTCCAAAACCCAAATTCCTCCATGCTAAACCCAGACCCACCTTCAAATTATGCTGCTCGCTTTCCACCGTTTCAGTCCCACAAACAACGACCAACCACAAGCCATTTCCTGCCGAAGTTTCTAGAACCATCATGGAATTGTCTTCTATAGGGACCCTTTCCACTCTAGCCCAAGATGGGTGGCCTTTGGGCGTCGGTGTAAGGTTTGCTGTCGATGCTGAGGGCACTCCTGTTTTGCGCTTGCTTAACCCTTCTCTTGATAACCGCTCCACCCTCCATGCTCAGGTAAATTCTTTTGCGCTTTCATATGTATATGTCTTTGTAAACTTCTTGATAGACGAATTTGAAATGCAATGCGATGCGATGTGGTGTGATTTACATGTTTCTATTTTCGAGATTCTTATTCATATGGCTTGCTTTTAATCAGTTAGAGCAGTGTGGATTGCGGTCTCCTCAGTGCACGATACAGGGCAATCTTAACAAACCAGCTGATGCTACGATTTTGAGGGTAAAACCTTTCCTCCCCAAGTGATATTACTTTAGAAGTTATACATGATGTTTTACTATTACTGGCTGAAGATTTAGGGCACTGTTTTGAGACTAATATTTGAAACTGACCAAACAGGCCTCATTATTACTTTGTAATGACTATGTTTTGGGAACAAATTGAGTAGATGGGATAATTGACTGCAACACTTTCTTACCCTCCCCTCCCCCCTTCCCCATTTAGAAGCTTTATCATTTGATTTATATGTCTGTGTCGGTGTTTGGTTATGTTGGATTCGTAAGTCATGCAGCAGGAATTTCTATTCTTTGTTCTGATACAAGAATTACTTAATGTCTATGACATTTGAATTTTCCCATATCCAATTGTCATGCTGCAGATGTTTTTTTTTTCTTATGGAACTTCTGTTAGGTTGTTGATAAAAATGAGCGGTAGTGGTAATTATAAATGAAGATGGCTGTTGTGGGCAGTAATCTATGCATATTCTGTAAATGATTAAAGCTTACACCGCCCTTCCTCTCTCTTATTTGTGTTTTTGTGAATCTGCAACTTTCTCTGAACCTAAACCAACTTTCTGATTTGGAATTTAAATTGAATATTGCTCACTTAGCATGAATCTCAGAAGTAGGAATCTAAGATATGAGGGTTTTTGTTTTTTACTTACATGGTGCTAAGTAGTTATCTATTTGCTCTTTTTTTTTCTCTGCTGTTCGAATTTTAAATTGAATCTCTGCATCAGCGGTTTGGAGAGGAAGCTGATGTAGAAAATCTTTATATTGTTGATGTACAAAGAGTACTCCAGATGGAAGACTTCAATGAGGTATACCAAGGCTTTTTCTGTCTTGCTTGCTTTAAGTGTAATGATTTTTAGCCTACAGACATCTGTTACAATATTTATATTAGTTAGAAGTAGTATACACAATTCTATTAATTTTATGTGCCGTCTTTAACTCATGCAGGATGGTCTATGGGTCACTTCGTCAGATTATAAAAATGCAAATCCCGATCCACTTTGAGACTTTGCTGAAGAATTTGTCAATGAAATTAATACCAATAACGGAGAAGATGTCCTTCGCTTTTGCAATGTATACGTTGATTTGGACTTCCGGGTGCATATCCACCCGTTATGCTATTTTTAGATAATTTATACTCCATTTTTTTACTTTATCTTACTGCTTATCTGGTATCCTGTGAAAAAAAAATCCCATTTCCATATCTTTTTATATTTAAAAATTAGCAGGACATATTTTGCTTAAGATTTCATTTGTTATAGTTATAAGAGTGGACAATGTTGGAAACTCTAGTATTGACTTACTCGATTGGTAATCCTGGTGCTTCTACTTTTGGATTGATGCAAATTTTTATCACGAATATGTGGAGTTAAAGATCTTAGGGTAGAGAAAAACTGAACTCGCTTTATGTAATCCATGTTTACCTACATTCTGTCTTGTCTACAAATTTCATCATTTTTCGGTTTATTCCCCTATCTCATATTCATGCTGCGAAAATTATGAAGCATTCACGTATTTATTGTTCTATTCTAAAGACTAAAATGTTCATTCGCTTGTGAGAGCATGCTTCGCATAATGGAAACATGCTACTTCACTGGTATTCATAACATCATATGAGCACCAGTGATATTGAATCTTCTTGTGCGACAAAATTTTTGAACTTCCACGATTATAATCAAGAACTAAAGTTGCATGCATGTCTATTACCTGAATCTTACATTCAGATTTATGTGATTCGTATGACATAGCAGGTATCAGAAGCCAAGATGATATGGGTGGATCATCTTGGCTTTGACTTGCGTATTTACTCTCCTCAGAACAGTGTATTTGATGTTCGAATTCCTTTTCCTCGGGAAGTAACCGATGAGAAAGGTGCCAAATTCTCATTCAATGGTATGTCACAACTTGCATGGGAGGTGGAGAAAATTTTCCAGGCCCCCGACTTCGAGAAGGTTAAACAACTAAAGAGAATCACGTACAGCGGAATGCTATAAATTTGTTAATCTCATGCTATATAAGCGGTGCTAGTGTTCTTATCTTCACTTTTATTTGGAAGATGATACTTGTTTTGCAGTTTATTTTCAACATTTGAGTAAGCATTTGGTATATTGGTGGCTTATGATTGGTGTTACCGTCCTTAACAAATATTGCGTTTAACACATCCTGATATGAAAAAAAAATACTAACACGATATGAATTAGGGTCATAGTTAGGGAAAGGGTGACCCTAAAATGGTAAATTTCCTCGCAAGTACACCTACAAAATTGTAAAATTATAAACTAATGCATGATAAAAGTGCATCTTGTCCCTTTAGACATTATAAGCTAAGGATAAAATTGTTTTTTTTTTTTTGGGCTCCGATATTCTTAAATTCAATTTTGAATCTAAAAGAACTTCGAACTTCTGCCTTTTGAGGTATAAAGTTTCATTAAAAATAGAATATCTTAAATAAGATTATGACCATATTATAACATGGGTACAGATGATCAAGTTGGACAAAAAAAATAAGCTGTACCTTTGATAATGTCGTTAAGCAATTAAATGTCAAGAGATGGCATCCAACTTGATCTTTAACCTCAGTTCCACTTGTGTTAGTAGTTACGCCCGTCGTTGAGAAGTTGCAATGGAAAGAATCGATAGTGTAAGAAGATGATTGACCCAAACTAAACCTACACATATCTTTGTTGCTGTTGGATGCCAACTTTTAACTTGGTTTATTCTCAGCTCATCTTACTTCTCACCTAAGTCTCCCCATATATAGAGTAAAAGCAACTATAACATAACCATTTCCAAGCAACGTACATTTCTTTCTTGAAGTTATCGGGATTTGATATCCAATCACCGGAAACGAATGTCCATTTAATCACGCATTCATAAATACATAAAGCTTATATGATTACATAGCAGTAAGTGTAAAGCGAAATTGGTCTATTACAGCATTTCTTTGTTTACCAGTGAAGTGTGAGCCAATGGTGCTGCTGCTCGTGTATTTCACTTGCTTTGGCTTAAACACAGTGCTAAGCATGTTTTCTACGCTTTGCACCGTGTAAAATACATCACTGTATTCCACCGCAAGACTATATTTCTGCAAGCAACTTGTATAAGCAGGCACCAAGGTCTGAACCACAAGTTTGTGCATCTTGTGTCTCAAGCTTTCATCGATAATGACCCAATTCAACTGTTTCTTGTACATGTCATCAAAGGCTGCGTTGAATGCCATTAGCCTCTTCTTCGGCGAATCGGAAATAGTTGATGAAACCGGAATGTCTTGGCATAGACGAGACAGGATTTTCCCCCAGGTCTCTCTCAAGTAGAGAGCTGAATAGTATTCCTTGTAATTTCCATTAGCATTTAACCAAGAATCTCCCATCAAAACCCCTAATTTTGTGCCTTTAAGACTATTGAAATGACAATGATTGTTCATCATGAATATGTAGGACAATGCCCTTTGCTCGTAGGCTTTCGACCAAACGTCCAAGTTAACCGCGATTTCTCTGACTATGCTGTATATCTGGTCGGTAACAAGCCCATCGTCGTATTTTTCATGCTTCCAACCTTGATAGATTCTCAAGACTTGGGTCAAAGTTCGTCTCGTATTGTCATCGAGCAGCCGATTACAGTAATCGGTCACGAAGCTTACGAGCCTCGGAATGCCTCCATCACTCGGCGGAGAACTTCGTCTTTCAAGCTCCACTTGTAAAGGAAGTTCCCAGAAAATCTCACTGGCACCATTAACAACTTTGGTGACGAGATCCCTTGTCATGTTTTTGATTTCATTGCAAGATTCCCCTCCGAAAAGCTTGTTGAAATCCATTCTTAAATCTTCAAGAACCGAAAAGATGTTCAACAAATGCAAGAGTTTGGTAGGACACTTTTTACTCTCGGCAATGCTCATTCCGAACCGGAGGAACGAAAGAATTCCGGATTCGACTGCAATCTTCTCAAAGCAGCCCGTCCAAATACCTGATGCAAGGCTTCCAAAGACTTCTTTGCAGAGCCTGTGCTCATTCTCAAGCACATATTTCACAATGAACTCCATATGCTTGCTCCACTCATGTATGCAACTCTCCATATCCCAGACATCATCGTGTTCTTTGATCACTTTCTGGAGGTAATCCAAATCGAGAACTCGCATGCTCTTTCTAGCATTCAGACTCCGGACTTCGACGAATATGGATATGCAGTTCTTTATCCTGTTACTTCCATTTAGTTTCTCCACGATCGCCTGTAACTTCCTAAGAATAGGCCACGGAAGCTCTGCTGTCGATGGCGATGAATTGGTTAAACAAACTGGAGCACTACTCTCCGTCAAACTCTGCTTGAATGCAATTTCTAGCTTGTCAAATGCACGACAGAGAAGCTTGCCATTTCGATGAGCTTGCTCCCCAGTTGCTAGTAATTCCTCCAAAATAGCAACCGATCGTTTAACATTGGATATGTATCGATAATCTGCGACAGAATTACCTTCCAGGAACTGTATAACTCCTTGTAACCATTGGATCGCCAAGTTGCAGTTGCCAGTGAGGAACTTCATTGCTTCTTCAAACTGTCTAATGGCTAAAATGTAAGAAAAAATATCAGAGTCCGGGCCGGAATCCGATAACAGCAACTTCTCAAGCTCACGAATGGAATCCAATATCTTTAAAACTGCAACAGCAGGGCCAAGAGCGAGACTGATATGGTCTCTAACAGCGGCAAAAGAGCAATTTTTGGAACCTCCAGGCCTAACAGCCACTTCCAATAGTGCCAACTTTTTGTCTAACTCGGCTAGTCGTGGCCCGGTTTTGTCGAGAGCCAAGGCAAGAGCTGTCGAATTGTCTACGCTAGCTTTCAATAAATTCCGACACGACAAAAGGTTGTCAATTCTCTTCTGCACCTCGGCCATGGACATGTTGCAACGCAACAACACGAGCTCAACGACTGCTGCCTCCCCCCCTCCCAACCACCCAGTATTATAGGTTTTGAACATATGGGGATGAAATTTGAAAAAAAAGTATCGTAAGTTTTAAGGTTCCTCGTGTTTTTTTCTCAACCAACGAATCAAAACTCAAACCAAACCTCACTTGCAAGACACGTATGAGAATCACAAACTTCCAACTACCCATGCCTTAACCTCACTTGAAAGCTTGAAAGAGTGACGTGGGGTTTTTTGTTGGTGTGTGTGAGCAACTGTTTTTCGTGTCAGTTTCAAAACGAACCCAACTGTCCTAATCTACTGCTACCATCTTTTCAAAAATCACAATCACATGTACAAATGTTTCCGTACTCGACTTAGAATTGGGATAAATATCCAATTTATACGTCAATTTTGATTCTATATGTAATGAGATATAAAAGAAATATAATTGTATACATGTAATTTTAATATTTGTTTAATTACATACATAAAGTCTTACTTTTTATTCAATTGTATATATTTTAAAATTATTTATTTTTTTATATAAGATTAATATATATATATATATATATATATAAAAGTGAATTGTCAATACTTCTTTAGAGCTCCGATTAAGATTTTCTTGTTGACATTTTAAATTTAAGATTTAAATTTCGATTTTTTTGTGATGTAAATATAAATACCTAGAAATAGATAAAATCAAGGAGTGACAGTGAAATGCTTTAACAAAAACTACAACAAATTGAAAAAGATTGAATATAATAGAATTGGGCTATTGAGTTGAGTTTGCGTATGCAGCCTAAGTTGGGCCACTTCCGTGATATTGTACCAAAACTGAAGCCCGTATAAATTTATATTTATACATCCATAATGTATAAAATACAAACCCATTTATAATACATAATAAACTTTCCCTTTCAGCGTTTTAGTTTCTATGGCTCACCAACCACAGCGGTTTATCACTCATTATCTTGAAAGAGCTCAAATCAGCTTAGCAAAGTACCTAATACATTAATCAATTCGTCTTTATTTTTACGCTATTAAATTCTTGTAGCTAGAAGAATCATTGAATTAAGAAAAGGGTAAATTACATGGTTCTTCACTCTACTTTACTCTCTCTCCTATTTTGCTCACCGAACTTTCAATTTTTCTAATTTGTTTATTGAACTTTACAGATTGAATCATTTTGCTCACTTTATCGTTAACTTTTTAACGACGTTATGACATGGCACAAGAACCAAAAAGACGTCGTTTTAGTGAGTAAATTATGAGATAGAGTAATTTTTAATGACACATGGTGTAATTTGCCACTTTTCATTCTCTTCTCCATTTTCTCTCATCCGACCACCATGTCATTTTCATTTTGGCCACCGTCGACCGTTGTAGATTGTGGACGCTCGGTCCCAAAATGGGATGGGTCGGTTATCTTGACCCTTTGAGTTCAGATCTGATGTTTGTCTCACCGGAAAATGTCCCAAATCTCGTGAATTTGGACTGAAACATTTCGGTTTCCTCACTTTCAATCTCAAATTCGTGGACTTCATAGCAACTTCTTACAAAATGGAGGTCGGATTCAAACTCACGACGTCGAGGCGAAGTGACCCATCCCATTTTGGTGCCAATACACCATTTACGGCTGTCGACGGTGACCGGCAATGGCATCCAGCTACCTTATGTTTTTATTTTTTTAATTATTTTTTATTAAAAAATAAAAAAAATGTCACGTTAGAGAGAAAATGGGAGAGTGAGCAAAATAATTTAATTTGTAGAGTTCAGTGAGCAAATTAGAAAAATTGAAAGTTCGTTGAGTAAAATAGGAGAGAGAGCAAAGTAGAGTGAGGAACGGTATAATTTACCCTAAAAAATGAAATTTTTTATTGCTTTTATTTCTTATAATAATAAATATATATTTATTGCCCTAAAATTGGGCAGAATCGACAATAATATAAGGTGAGGGTTCTCCCCCAGATCATGCATATCCAGTTCCAAAATAATATATAGTGTATATTAAAAGTGGGTCAACCATAGTTTGCCTCAGACTATTTTTAGGCAGTGGGTTGCAGATTTATTTTGTTTTTAATCGATTGGTTAGGTTATGCTATTGAAATATATAAATATAATGTTGATTATTAATAAACTAAAAATTATTTAATTATATATATATATATATATTAAAATATAATAGTATATAAATATTGGAATATAATTAAATGGGTAGACTTGATAAGACTATGCACTCACTAACATTGAGACCTGACCTCACAAACTTTAAGGCGATAATCATTGCAGAATTACAGGAATTCTTATCACAACGTGTCTTTCTTTCAGAGGCTTAACTTAGACTAAGACTAAGATTTAATGTCCTAAATTCTCTATGTATTTTTAAATATTTAAATAAAAATTAAAGAAAATCATGGAATGATAAAGAGTACCCAAAGTCAGAGATTCCAACTGAATACATATTTTTAAGACCGAATCCAGAGGCATTAATTGAGTTAGTGATTTCTTAATGCAACAAATTGGTACAGTGGTACTCCTCTTGTCTTTTGATATTAATTTAATTATTATTTTCACTAAGGTAGTGTTTGTTTAAGCATTTAATTTAAAATTATATATTTGAATGGAGTAAGATATATTTAATTAATGTAATTGCAATTTTTATAAAAATTAAAAAAATAAAAGTTATCATATACGAATGACACTTTTGAACAAGTCATAGTAACGCTCAAATAATTCTTTTGCGTTCTATTTTTCTTGTCTTGAAATTTATTTTAAAACCTAAACCTGTTTAACATTTAAAAAGAAAAATAAATAAAAAGAAAAGAAAAAGGAGAGGGAAGGGAAGGGAAGGTGGTGGCAGTGGCAGTGCCGGTGTAAGGTTTATGAGCTATGGATTGGTAGGTCAATATCATCCTCATCGACACTGTCATCTCTTTAACTTAAATTAACAAATATAAAAAAATATATATTAGAAAAGGCAACTGGGCAAGTGCATTAAACTGAAAATTACTAAATAAATCCAATTAAAAGTTTATTTATCGTTAAATTTATGAGTATATTTTACCATACAACGGTAATATTGAATTTAAACCATAATCAATGATTTTCAACCCACAACTTCAAAATAATAGTTTTTTTGTTACTGATTAATTAAGAAGCTCATATGTATATATTGAAACAGGCTAATGCTATGTTAATAATTTATTTTCTATTGAACAAAATGCAAAACTGATAGACATGAGAAAGATGTTACAAATTTAATCAAGTCAATAACAAATAAATCGTAAAATAAAGGAAAAACACAAAATTTTGGGTGAAAAACATTAGACGAAGAGACTATAGACAGAAATTTATTATAGTAAAAATTGAACATTAAAAATTATAAAATTAGACGTGATAATCTAAAAATCTTAAATATTTTTTATTAAATAAATTACACCATGAAATTTTGAATTTGAATCAAAAGAAATTTGAATAATCTCTAACGGATAAGAGATTTGACAATGTTCATACTTAAATTGAAGTTTCGAACTTCAAAGCCACAGATTAAGAAAGATGAAAAACGAACCTAAAACAATTACAGAGGCGTAAAAGCAGGGGAAGGACAAAAATATCATGTTGTAAGAAAAACAGGCAGCGGGGCAGGACATCATCTTCATGGCCAAGTGTCGGTCGTGTAATGCCAAAACTACTAACTTTAATAACAAGTACAACCCTCCTGTTCTGAACAAAAAGCTCTCTCTCCCTCTCCCTCTCCCTCTCCCTCTCCCATAAAAACAAAGGCTTTTTTGTGTTATCAGTTCCCTCTCCATCCTTCTCTCTGGTTAAACTTGCTGTTTATTGGGCAAATCTCTCTTCTGCAGGATCTAAATTTCTTGGGAAACAAACACCCACTTTGGGTCTTTCTCTTTTCATTGTTATCATAGAATTTTGAGAGAGAAAAAAAAGAAAAGAAATGGGAGTTGATTTGAGGCAAGTAGTGGCCGGTATACTCACTCTCACCATGTTTGTGATGCTTGGCCAAATGATTAAAAGAGACCATTTTGATTCTCTTAAAGTAATGTTTCTGTCCCAGTTTATCTTCACTTCTCATTATATTTTTTTTTGGGTATGAAAGTAAATCTGAATCTGTATCTTCAGTTTGCACTTCATTTTCCACTTTGCTTGGCATCAAATCTGCAACTTCAAGGGGAAAAAACAAAGAAAGATAATATTATTACAGTCATGATCTTTAAAATGTTGTCTTTGGTAATTGTTTGTGTACAATTGTAGTTATATTTTATCACAAATAATTGTTAATTCATGAAGAAGACAAGAAACAAGGTATTAACTTGAAAATTGTTACTTTTGAACAAAAATTAAACCTGATTTGCTTACATGGTCTTCAACCTTTGTTTGATTTCTCTTCAGATCCTCGTATTCCCTTACATGGTCTCTGTTCTGCCCTTGTCATGTAGGAAACACTGCCCGGAGAAAGTCAGGATGTCCAATTCGACAGTGGCAATACTATCATGAACGATGGCCTCGTAAAGCTTTCGAAGAGGAGTAAAGGACCATGGATGGAGGACATCCAAGAGCTAAAGCCGTGCTGGAGCAGGACCGATTTCGGTTCGTTAAATTCTCCGAACTTCTCCGGAAAACAATGATATAAGTTTGTCATATGTGTGTGCAGATCTCACACAGTCATCAATGTGTGCACTCATAGGTACAAATTTATGCTTAATGCTTTTCTCTTTAACCGATAGTGTTCTTAATTGGCTAACAGATGAGATCGAGCGGTCAAAAGGGTATGTTACTTTCTCATTGACAAATGGTCCGGAGTACCATGTCTCTCAGGTAAATGAAAGTTCCTTATCTATTGCACTCATCTATTGAAAACATTATCTTGTTTCCCACCTCATTTACTATTCATTCTGTGGTGGATTGTTCTTATCAGATAGCGGATGCCGTAGTCGTAGCAAGGTATCTGTCGGCGACTCTGGTCCTTCCGGACATTAGAGGAAGCAAACCTGGAGATGAGAGGTTCGTGCTCATGCTAATTTTAATGATCTCCTATGAAGAGTATTAAGCAACTTAACTTTGAGATGATCTAAAATTTGAAAATATGAATGGTACTAAGATAATCGAACTTCTATCAGAAACTTTGAAGATATTTATGATGTCGAGAAGTTCATGAAAAGCCTAGATGGGATTGTCAAAGTAGCAAAAGAGTTGCCGAAAGAGATATCAATGAGGGATCTTGCAGCTGTGAAAGTTCCCAACCGGGTCACCAAAGATCACATTGTGGAAAGTGTAGAACCGATATTTAGATCAAAGGGCAACATAAGGCTCGCGACGTACTTCCCTACCGTGAATATGAGAAAAACAGCACAAAAGAGTAGTGCTGATTCCGTTGCATGTTTGGGAATGTTTGGAACCTTAGAGTTGCAATCAGAGGTTCATGAAGTTGTCGATTCAATGATTGAACGGCTTAGAACATTGAGTCGCAAATCAGATGGCCAGTTTATATCAGTGGACTTGAGGGTTGAGATACTTGGAAATAAGAATTGCCATAGAAGTAGCTCCACCGGGGCAAAAAGTTGTTATAATGCGGTGGAGATAGCTTTGTTTTTGAGGACGTTAGGATTCGATACAGATACCACCATATACCTGACTCAATCAAGGTGGGATAACAGCCTTAGTGTCTTGAAGGATATCTTCCCTAAGACATACACAAAGGTAAATTCATCTCTTATCTAAGATCTTTGGCTGTGATACAGTAATCTGCAATTTATGTACAATGTTTAATGCTTGCAAATAATCAATTATTACTAGTAGCTCAATCTTGAAACACAACTTTGCTATTTGTTATTTTCTGAACCTCTGTTTGATACTGGAACTAATGTAGGAAACCATAATGCCAGAGGAGAAAAAGGGGAAGTTCCTTGAATCCGAAGGTTCAGAATTTGAGAAGGTTATAGACTTCTACATATGTTCTCAGAGCGATGTCTTCGTACCAGCCATCTCCGGCCTGTTTTATGCCAATGTAGCCGGAAAAAGAATAGCTTCAGGGAAACCTCAAATCCTTGTTCCAGCTGATATACCTGGTACCTCCGCCACCGTCACCAACTACCTCTCTCCCTATGTTGCCAAGAAGAACCACTTGGCTTATTCGTGTTTCTGCTAACCCTCCGTTCGGAAGGGTGTTGGTTCGGCGCATGTGTTTGTGGAAGCGTTCGTAAAAGCGTTCAGGGTCCTCCCTCCCATTTACCTCATTTTGAGTCTTTTTGATTAAGTAGAGGGAAAGACCAACTTTGGTGTTAAATGCCCTTGATAAAAGTTGATCTGCTAAGATGGTTGTTCATTAATGTGCTTTTCCAATAGGGTAATAAATGTTAAAAGGTTTTGAGTCAATATGTTGTTTGATGTGCTTTGTAAAACTCCATTTCTATAATTTATTCATTGTAACAAGGTTGCACTGTCTTAGTACTTTCCTCTTGGTCGTTTAGGTTGTAAGAAATTGAACTTCGATCATTAAAAGTAAGAGTCCAAATAATTAACTATAAAGTTAAACAAAATTTTCGAAAGCCCATAGAAGCGAGCAATTATTTCATCGTTTGGTGCCACCGCCTCGGGGCTTTCACAGCCCTAACCTTATTTACAAATTGCAAAAGCTAAAGCTTTAGAAGCCTGATCTTTATTTCCTCTTGCATGGAAAGAATTAACAGAAACTACCGTACCAAATAGTTCATGCATTCCGAGATGCCGTGTTCCGTCAAAATGGCTTGGTGAAATACTTAGCGACCGGAGCCTCAGGAACCGGAATCAGCTTTCCGACCATCGCCAGAGGCCAGCTTTAACACGTAATAATAACAACAATAGCAGTCATCAATGAAGGCTAAAAAAACTAGTAGATACTTTCCAAATTTAAACTATTTTTGCAATGGCAAATAAACTTAGTTGTTTCTAATCTAATCTAACTCACATCAATTAGCAAGAGTAATATGGATATTCTTGACAAGAAGAGCAAAAGCTTACCTGATGAAGCCAATGCCGATTGATACAAGCCATAACAGCCAATCGAGTCTGACCGTGTGGTAAACTTTCCAAGGAACTCGATAATGATTACCTAAGACAGTCTTGGAATTAGTATCACGATCACTACAAACAAGATAGAATCAATAGTAAAAGAGGATAATATGATTGATCACTTGAAGAATTAATGTAAATCCTATTATCCCCATAAAGAGGTAGTTTTTAGTCACTCCTTTGAAGCAGTTAATTTCTTCCGGCTTTCTAGCATTAAACTCATTGAATAGCTGTGATTTGGAACAGTGACTAAAATTATGCTTCACACTAATCGCAATTTTGGGTCAAATAGACATGCTTCAGAAAAAAAAAAAATGGTATTTGGGCAAATTGGTAGACAGGAGCAAAGCTCAAGTAACCAATTGTGAATGATTAGACCCTTTGCTACCAGACCGAGAGTTTAACCATTGCTTTCGTGCTAAATGAGTGATTAGCCTTAAAACTAATACCAGAAAATCGAAAAACTTCCCCAATCAGTTCACACTTGTCATTCAGTACTTACTTGACACATGACAAATGCATTGAATATCAAAGTATTCTTCACTTTATAAGCATGTTCGCTGTCAGGGTCATCCTTCAAGTGAAGAATTGTCAAGCCTTGAAAATTGAGCACGAGGAGGACAGTAACTTGATATGAAGCCTAACGTGACATGTTAAAAGATGATAAGAGAAGACGGAACTGCAAAGCTACATTTTCCAGACTCTGATATGAGTTAACAACTCTCTCAACTAAATAAACTTGCAACTATGACAAGTGAAAAGCTAAGAGGGGAACATAATTAGTCTCATGTGAAGGGCCAAGAAAACAGGTACCTGTATGACTAAGTTCCTCCACATGATGTTTGTAATTAGAGGTTCCCTGAGAAACAAAACAGTTATATTAAACACCAAAAGATAATTTAATGGTACACCAGCCCTTTCTAATCTTTTGATGTTTATCTTTGCAGAAATATTCAAATTATTAAAAGATCCAGTCTATTCCAAATTAGTAAAAGGTAAACCAGGTCGTGGTTGTTAGATGAGCTTGAAAGAGTAAACTAGTTGATAAGAACAACCGGTTCTGGTGAAAGACTTCTAAAAGCAAGGTGACTCTGTGATCCTTCCCTTTCTCCCCACTGAACTTCCTCTACAATCCTGATTAATTCTGTAGCAAGCTCAAATAAAATATCCTGATGAAGGAAAGCTTAGGGGCTAGGATTTGAATTTAACTTATAACCTAATTTTCTTGACAAAAACACCTAGGGCTCCAACTCACGCCCAAGGATGATTGCATCAAAACCAGAATAAGTTGAAATTTAGTGTATAACTATGCCCTCTATAGAAAAGTACATTAGTTTATTTAGATCTTAACTAGGACTCCAAGTTAACAAGCTTAACTTGAACACAAGAAAATAGAAGACAATAAACTCGAGTTGAAACTCAAGACCACCGAAAAACAAACTTGGCTTGAAAACAAAACCTACCGGGTAAAGGAAACACACTTAATAAATTGTAAACTACTAAATATATCCTGGAAATGCATATTTTAGTCATCAATCTTCATAAATATAACAAGAGTATCAAAACAAAATTGTAAATAATCCCAAAATTAGTTTCTCAGCCTTCTGTTCTTGGAATATTGTAAAATCATTCGAGTCTTGGAATGACTAGTATGGTAATGTTTCAAAAATAAACCAAATTCCCAGAATTTAGAAAACCTTGGTGTATTTTCTTAGAAAAAGATTAAAATTGTTTGTAAGAATGAGAAAACTCCAGTGTTTTACCCATCAAAAAATGGAAATATAAATTTGGATTAATTTGATAGATGGTTAGCAAAAGTGATACCATAAAATGAATTTAATGGAGTAGAAGAATCTTTAACAAAATAAATAATTAGATTTTAATAAAAACAACAAATTCTTAAAAAATAGAAACAAAATAAAAATATGAAAAATTAAATTCTAAATATACAAAGAATATTGAACTTAAAGCATATTTCAATCGATTAAATTACAGTCCCTTTCTTTTCTTCTTACCGACTTGACTAAAGCCAAAGCCAAAGCGAACATTTTATTTATATCATTTACTTGTTCATTAATTATAATAATAGTAATGACCGTTGTCGGCTTATGAATATATATATATATCGAAAGAGGAATTGTTTATGGGTAAATTGTAAAATCTTATATTTTAAAAAATCAAAATGATCATATTTTAGTTTTAAAATAATATTCAACCACATATGATTTTTGTATAACTATTTATCTCATTAAAGGGTCACTTGATTCACGAAATGTAAAATTATTACTAGGAATGAGATTATTGAGATATTACATTACTTAACACATCATTGTAAATGTTGTATTAACTTGTTTGGTTTATTTGACAGGAATGTAAAAATATAATGTTTTATGGAAGGAATATAAGATAATAAAAATGTATATTTTAACAAATTGTTCCTGAAATATATTTTTTTAACAAATTGAATTATCAATATTAAAGTTAAAATATTTACATGAAAGTTCATAGAAAATATAACTTTATATTATTAAATAATTTATATATTTTTTAATAAATTTACACACAAACAACTTAATATAAATATATATTGTTTTTAATGTTTTATTCTTTGAAAATATAGAAACATACTTACATCAATATAATTATGTGTTTATTTTTAGGTACCAAGATATTGAGAGATGTACATACTTACATCAGTATAAATATATGTTATGTGTTACACTTTTTTTTTTATTTTTTCATGTTATATTTATGAGTTGTACAACGAAATATTATATCAAATTATTGGATAAAATTAATAGAAAACATAAAAAATATAATATAAAAATTATTTTATTATATGCAATCATATTATTTTATAATAAGTATTAAAAATTTAGAATCACAATAAAAGAATAAAATAAATTTATATGATTTTTAATTTATAATATCTAAAATCATATAGTATCAACCTATGCAAACAGGACTGCCGATGGGCTTGCTAAATATGTCATTAACCCAGGGATTACATGAGATGGAAAAGCCCCCCCGGGAGTGGTTGAAACACTACTTCGAGATGAAAGAACAGACTAGGTCTGAACCCTACCTCGTCAACCAAAAAAAAAAGAGGAAAAACTCCATTATAAAATTAAGGACTATCACGTGATTTAAAAGAATAAAGGAGACGGTACTTTTAAAATAATTTATTTATTTAGAGGTAATTTTATATAATTTAACAAAAATTGACAAATACTTAAAGATGTTAACGGGAATGAGATTCTAGAAAATCCGAACCAAAATAACTATATTAAGTAATATTTCATCAAGGACAAGGATATGTGATTTCATGAGAGATTATGAGAGTATTTGGCAAATAATTGATAATTGATAGTTGGTTCTAGTAGTTAGTTTGACCAACTGATTTGATTAGATGTTTATATAGAAGTATTTGGTAAAATTTAGCTGATAGCTAATATAGGTAAAATGATAAATAAGGGTATGATACATTTAGTTGTTAAATACATATATATTTTATAATATTTTAATCTTTATTAGGGTGATTATTAATAAAATACTTTTGATAATGAATTAAAATTCCTTAAGAAAATTAGTGAATATTTTTAAAAAATTTGAATATAATTTTTAAATTTAATATTTACAAATATTAACCTTGTGAGATTGATACATATTGTTAACCTTGTATTAAGTATCAACACTACATTTTTTTTACTTTCATGTTTTGCTATATTTTCGACTAAAATATATTTTAGAATCTACAACTAAAAAATAGAATAATAAAATAAAATTTCACTAAAAGATATTAGGATGTAATTATGGAAATAATTAGGTAAAATATGTCATTTAACATCTTATGTGCAATTAGCTCTTCCAAACCACTGAATTTTTCAACGTTTTCATTTTCAGTTTATTTTGCACAATAAACTTTTTCAAAAAAATGTTCACCAAACACTAAAAATGAAGAGTTCAACTACCAATTAATTATTTATGCTTAAATACACTAAAAGCACTTTAAAAAATTGTTTACCAAACACCCTTATTTTTTTTTGGTGATAATTTTTCCTTTTATCCAAACGTTCCCTAAAACATATTTGTACCGATAAAGTCAGTCATGTCAATATCGACTGTGTTCACCATGCCTGTCGCATTCCCAATTAAATTTAGTATAGCCGGATTTGAAATTTTAAATAAATTAGATCCATTCAGATTTAGATCATTACACTAGTGTACAAATAATTCAAGAAGTAGCATGGCAAATTGACACCTACTCCTATGAACTTTGCAACTTTGCACCAACGATGAAGTGAGACCACCAATAACCACCATCTTGTTTACCCACTAAGTTCATAACTATTCATTGTGAAATGGATCACCATGACTTCTACGTAGACATACCTAAGAATTGGACCGACCCTTATCAAATTTTATAAAATTAGACAAATTTAGAAGACAAATCAAAAAACATATGTTAGATGGTACTATTTCAACTCAAATCAAAATGAAGTCTCAAAAATAAAGGCTATGAAGTGTGAACTTTTGGTACATCAAATACTAAAGACGTGCATGGCAGAGGTGAAGAGAAAAATATAAAACAAAAACAAAATAAAGAGTTCAAACCCCCTTCCCCGAAGCAGAAACTAAAAAGAAAACGGTGAAGAAAATAAAGCTGAATCCCTAAAATGCCCCCATTGCCGCCTTAGCCATAATCATCACTACCAAAAGAAATGGAGATAGTAGTAGTAGAATACAAAAAGATTTGATACAGACAGTATATATATATTTGGCGAATGAGCCTTCCAAGATATTGTGTTGCGTAAAAAAAAATAATACAGTAACCACAGCCACATGACGTTACTATGTTACTCCATAATGTTTCGGTAAATCATTGGAATCCCTAAAAGGAGAGAACTTCAATTAATGGCAATGATGAGAAAACCGACGGATACATACATAAGAAAAACGGGATACAGAGCAAGCGCCTTTCTCCTCGGATTGACAGCTGAACTCATGAAAGGATAGGCAGCCCATGAGCTCCAAGCCAATGTTACACTGACCACAACTATTTTCACTATGACATTGTCCTTCAACATACAGATTAGGGCTCCTATATCCAGGGGAAATAGACAATAACCGAGAAGGCTCAAACTCTGGAAAAAAATAATATGCCCACCCTGAAACAATGTAAAGGAAAAAAACTTCAGCAGAGGTCACTCACCATCCATGCATAGCATTTTTATATTAAAATTTCAAAAATAATGGTATGAATCACATGCAAAATGGGGATTCCAATTCCAGATATAAGATTAAATTTAAATATAAATTTAAATAGCTTGCAAAGAATCCAAAGTTGCTCTCTAGAGGAGAGACCATTACCAGTAGTAGTACATTCAATGTCAAGATTACAGCACCAGCTGCAAGCAGGGCAAATGCAACAGCAAATACCTCAGACTGAAACATTTTTAATAGGAGAAAATTTAGTACTGATTTAAAAAGAATATGATTTTATATGATAAACATTATACAGCAGAAAAATGAAGAAAGGTGTACAGGCATAAGAGATGCATCTTATACAGTGAAAATATGCAGAACATAAATAATGTGTATAAAGATCATTGTCAGATGAAAACTAAAAAGTAGAAAAGAAAAAGCAAGTGTCCAGGAGGAGAAAACACAATAAGATTAGATCTCATTGAAATAAGAACTTTGAAATTACCAGTAATCAAAAAAATTAATGACACGATATCTCTTCAAAATGCAAGGCAGTATCGTCATACATCAAAAGATCCTGGAAGGAATTTCATGCAAATGGACAATGTAACACCTCAATTTTTATCAGTGAATGTGCTGGAACATTTCCATCCACAAATGGAATAAGAACTTCGTTTATGGTTCAAGTATAGCCTAATATATAGCTCTTAACTCATGATGGAAGAATATCAAATCTCATGCAAAATCTATTACTTTGACGGAGGGGTAAATGGTAATGATCAAAGAAATGACATTCGAAGATCACTAAAAGCCAAGAACGGACATTACAGAAAATAAATGGACCAGCTGAGAATAACAGTATACAACCCACAGGAAAGATGCAGAAATTATATATTAGCCTTAAATCAAATTCTTAAGAATCAACTTGAGTTCAAGGTTAGAGTTTAATAAATATTAAAAAACACAGGCCACAGACAGGTGTTACTCGGTGTTTGGCACTTACACAAGTGAAAACCCTTGCAAAAACTATCAAATACAACAGCAATTGTAAATCAAAGTTTATCCCATGATGCAGTCCACTACAAAGATCATATAGTATCACTGTGTTCTATTTGAAACTATCAAATAATGGAGTCATGGAAGTGCCGACAAATTCTAGAAAGATAACATCCAAGATAACAAAAGGGGAAAAAGAAATAACGGTGAAGGTCTTTACACTTAAAGAATAAACATCCAAGATACGCATAGATCTGAATCCTCCAAGGTAAAACAATTATTCCAGAACACTGTTGCATTTTAGAGACTTGTTCATTTCACATACCACCATTTATAATTCCTAAGTCACTTCTTAGAAGTAACGAATAAATAGAAAAACAATTAGAAGATTTCAAGATAACATCATTGCCTCCCTTTTGCAATTTAATTTAAACTAGCATGATTCAGAATAATCTTTTGCAAGATCTGGGACAAGTTTCTCAGCTTTTAACAGCTAACTATCATAATTAATTAGATGTACATCAAGTTAATCAATCACAAGTTATCACACGCACAAGGAAAAGGTAAAAAACGAAGTCCAATGTGAGAACAAAACCTTCTTAACAGAGGCGGACCAAGAAAGCGTGAGTCCCAAAAAGACAATGAAGAAAAAAGGACCCCATAGATCCCAATCTCTCAAGGCTTTTCCAGGATCTTCTCTGTAGGGATTCGGAAACACCACCAACTTCAAGTTACTAACGATCCTCGACAGATCTCTCTTCACAGTGTCCCAAACGGGCTCCGTTAGCGTGTTGGGTGCAGGACCGAACCCGGTAGCGGCGATGCTGCTAGAGTTTCCGACGTAGGGGGGAGGAGGAGGAGGGGCGGCAGCGACAGTCGGCACCTTCTGATTGGACGACGATGACTGCGGAGGTGGAGGGGGGATTTGAGATTGGATGAAGGGGGTTGAGGAGACCGGAATGGAGGCACGAGGTGGGCTTGGCGGTCGGGCCGGGAGGACTGTGGCTGGGCCGGATTGGACGCTGGCATTAATTAGATTCTCGATCTCGTCGATGTCCGATTGAGACGACGGGTGAAGAGGTACCGTATCGCTGTGCGAATTTGACATTTCTTTGTTTTCTTGAAACAAAGAAATTTCCTTGTTTCGGAAAATAAATGGATCTGAGACTAGAGGCGGGACTAACGAGGAACTAAGAGGGAAGAGTGTGTGTGTTTATTCGTCGGTTGGGATTTTGATTTCTCTCTCGTTTCTCTTGCCAAGTTATCGTTTGTTGTCTCGCTTCTGAATTCTTAAACCGCCGTCGTTCGAGGGTTGATGCTAGCCACACACGGGCATGAATAAACGTGGAAGGAGGAGGACTAATAAAGTAATAAAAAGAAAATGGCATGGTGTTTTCCTTCTCATACAACCCTTCTATTTAGGGTGTTTAAATAATTGAACTAATTCGGTTAATTGATAGAATCGAATTAATTTGATTAATTCGGTTCGGTTACCGAATTAGTTCGATCGGTTAACGGTTAAAAGTAATTTTAGAATTCAGTTAACGGTTAATTCGGTTTGAATTCGGTTAATTAATCGAATTAACCGAAATTAAATTTTAAATATTAAATATATTATATATAACATATGGGCTCAGCCCAAACCATTTAAAACCCAATTAATAATTTAAGATCCAATAATTTTTAAACCTAAATCAATATTAATTAATTAAAAAAATTATATAAATTTTTTTATTTTATAATTATATATTATTTAAATTAATTGTAAACTGTTTTTTTAATTAAAAAATATTATATATATTATATATAACATTTGGGCTAAGCCCAAACAATTTAAAACTCAATTAATAATTTAAGGTCTAATAACTTTAAAATCTAAATCAATATTAATTAATTAAAAAATTTATCTGAAATTTTTATTTTATAATTATATATTATTTAAATTAATTATAAACTTTGTTTGAATTAAAAACATTTAATTTTTATATAAATTAAAAAAAATTTTAAAAAAAATCGGTTAATTCAAAAATTAACCGAATTAACCGAAATTAATTCGGTTCGGTTAATATGTTTGAAAAAAAAGTTCGGTTCGATTAACGGTTAAAGAAAAAAAAATTCAGTTAATTCGATTAAAGGTAGTTCGGTTCGGTCGGTCACTGTTTTAACCGAATGAACAAGGTAGGGAGAATTCACGCGGGTTTTGATATTTACCATTATAAAATTGAGTAAACTTTCATTTAGTACCTAAACTATTACTTTACTTTCGTTTTGGTACCTAAACTTTATTTTTTTCCAAAATCATATTTAATATTTATTTTAAGTTTCAATTTGGTGCCCTACCGTTAAAAATTTAATGATTATATTGACACGTCACCATAAGATAATAACACGTTATCATTGAAAAAATAAAAAATTGTCATATTAACAATTTTTTTAACTTGTTTAACATCGTGTACTAAATGAGTAATTTATCCTACAAAATGTTAGTATATTAAAAATAAATAATTATTTTTGAAAATAATATGATTGCAAATGAACAAAGTATTCGATGAATTGTTCATGAACAGTTCGTTAACGTTCGTTTATTAAGTTAGATAAACGGGTATGAATTCATGTGCATTTAATAAACAAACGAACATGAACAAAACTGTATTCGGTTCATGTATGTTCACGAATAAAATCATTTAAAAGTTTGTTTACAAATTCATTTATAAGCTTGTTCCTTAATTTTGCTTTCCTTTTATCATTTAAGTTTTAAATATTGGTGAAGGTATAGAATATATTGAACGTAGTGTGAACTTTAGATTTCAAACTATAAAGTCTAATTAGCTTAAAGACTAGTGGTGTAATTTTATCATTTTAGCGAACTTATTCGTGAATGATAAACGAACATGTTGACAAACACAAACGACATGTTCATGGACAATAAAAGAATATGTTTGCAAACGCTAAATAAATAAATAAATATGAACACTTTCAAAAATAAATAAACGAACATGAAATTAAAAATTTAAACAAACACAAATCAAATATACACCTTCAAAAATAATCAAACATATACGAACATAATTTTATCCGTTTAAACGGTTCATTTACACCTCTGAAAAATCAAATTATTAGAATAATATGAATTTGAAAATAAATAATAATAATAATAATAGAAAATATGAATATTATTAAATTTTTAAAAATATATAAATAATTAAAAATATATTAAAAAAAATACTTAAAATAATATTTTAAAATTTACCTTTTATTTTATAACGAGATCATGTATATTGAATAAAATAAAATCATGAAAAAATGTAAATATTTTTAAAATTTTGGATAAAAACAAATTCTTCATTCAAACGTATTCTAAAAAATGCACATATTGTAGAGTTAAATGCTTAAACATACTTGATCAGATATGATTATTCTAATAAGTGGCGAATTCAAAATATTTTTCAGGGTAGGTACACATATGTGAACAAAACAAAATTTTTAAATGGGATGGTACAAATAAAATTTTAGCGTGGACATCGTCCGTAAAATAAGTAACAAATCTAAGAAAACTCAGATTTCATGAGGAGCATTAAAAATTTCAGGGTAAATACTATTAATAAAATAAGTAATTAATCGAAATTTTTTTGAAACCAAGCTGTGGCTCCGCACTGATACGAATAATATTATTATTTTTATTTATATAAATAACACCTAAGAATTTTTTTAATAAATATATATTTTTATAAAAATATAATATTATATGATAACAAATTCAATTGATCTAAACTTTATTAATATTAAAAGAAAATTCTTAATTTTGTTTATAATTTAATGCTAACATTAGTCTTTTAAAGCATAAATCAACTTATCTTAATGATTAAAGGAATCGTTGTTGTTCATATAGGTCATAGGCTCGGGCATCAATAATTGCAACAAGATGATTGAACACTCACTATCAAATAATTAAAAATATGTAAAATATATATTAATTTATAATCACGTTAGTTTAATAAAAAAAACATTAATCCTTTAAAAATTTTAATCGCTAGAAGAATGATAGATGACAATGATGAAGAGTAAATAAAATTTTATCCATCTCCCAAGTGGTTTGTTTTTAAGTTTACCGCTAGTTTTTAGATTTTTTTTAAGTAAAATAGTGAGGAAACAACATTATAAAAACCTCATCTGCCACAATCAGCTTGCAACAGTTCTTCAAACTCTGGCCACCTTATTCCCATCCCTTTTCACATGCTTAAACACAATGCTCCATTATTGACTATACAACTCTCAAACGTGTAGATGAATTGTGGGGAATCATTGTTGAACAGAGTCAGTTTGTATTAGGTGAATGACTTCTTTACTATCTGATTCAATTACCAGTTGTCGAAATTTCAGATTCCAGACCAAAATCATAACAGTATATGTCCCCATAACTCAGCTGCTAAAATTGAACAGACCTCAACAAACTTTGAGAACCCATATTACCATCTTCCTTCATGGTTGCGAAATACACCCCCACGCGAAGCACGACCATCCAGCTCGAATCTAGCGCCAGCAATGTTCCACTTGATCCATACAATCGGAAGAGAGGACCAGAGATTCGGACTAAGCCCACTCAGAGAGCTCGGACAGCAGTATAGGTACGGTTTACAAAAGCACACTGCATCACTAGGAGAAGGTTGTGACTTTTATAGAGAACTGAACCACCAAACTCCATCGAATTTACAAATGCTATTTCATTCCAGTACGGCCAAAGATTCCAGATGATAGCACCAAAAAATAAATCCAAGTTAGATGGATTGATAGCAAAATATTGCAAGTTAGATGGCCTCTTATGGCTTGGGCAAAAATTTGTACACCGAAGAGGGTAGGTGGGTTAGGTTTTCGGGACCTCAAATTAGGGAATCAATTGTGGCGATTAATCAAAGATCCAGATTCTTTATTTGCTAGGGTGTACCGCGCTAAATATTACCCAGATGGCGATATCCTAAATGCTAAACTGAAAGACAGAAGCTCTTATGCCTGGAACTCACACCGGCATTATTTTGAAGAGTGGCTGTAATAGTAATACTAGACTCTTTTCGGATTCGTGGGGAGGTACGAAACGGGTGACCCTTACAGGTACCTACAACATTCCGCAACTATGGAATGTGCGCTGCAGATATCTGATGCACAGAAACCAACCACGTTGGGACTCAGTCAAGGTACGTGAAGTTTTGGTAGGATCTGATGTGGATACGGTGCTGCAAACTCCGATAACGTCGTCTGTGATTGATAGCATAATATGGGGGAATCATGATTCTAGGGTTTATTCAGTTCGATCTACTTATTGGTGGCTTCAAAAGCCAACTCACACAATAGAGGCAATCTCTCCTACCTGGAAGACTATTGCGAAGTTGTCTGTCCTCCCCAAAATTTGCATATTTCTATGGAGACTAGCAAATGACACTTTGTCGGTTGGTAGCATAGTTGTAGCAATCGGGTTAGGCGATAGAATCTGTCCATTATTCAAGGTAGAAATTGAGACAATGATGCATGCCTTTCGGGATTGCTCCTTTGTATAGGATGTTCTACGAGAGGCTGGTATTTCAGGTGCGTTCCTTACTGCAGTTTATGCATCTCCAATACTTTAGTTAGAATCCACATGTGCTACTACGTTTGGGGTTGATTCTTTTGCAGAATTTGTGGTCTTTCTTTAGAATGTATGGAACATTCGAAATTCAATGGTGCATGATGGTCGCGTTCAACCTCCTTGGGTGATTGTGGCAAATGCAAAAGCCTTACATCATGAATTCCTTAATGCTATGAGACAGCAGGTCCTAACAAGCAAGGTGATGCAGAGGCCACCCGTTGGAGGCCGCCGGATAGTCAAGTCATTAAACTTAATGTTGATGGTGCTTATAACTCAACTATTAAAATGGTTGCGGTAGATGTTGTTGCTCGTGATTCTTTTGGAGTGATTCTTGGCGGATTCGTTACCACATCTGGAGGTATTTATGAACCTATTTTGGCAGAGTTGCATAGTCTTGCTGCGGCAGTCAACCTTGCAATTACGGAGGAATGGCGAAACGTGGTTATTGAGTTGTATTCTACTACCATAGTTAATATGTACAATGATGTAAGTGGAGATGATTCCACAGTCAGTGTCCTCATGAGGGATATAAGAATGAAATGTATCGTGTTTGATAGTTGTATTGTAATTTATGTGCGTAGGGAAGCAAATAGGGTAGCTCATAAGCTAGCTCAGAGAGCACTTGCTTGTAATGCTTTTTATTCCTTTGCGTCCGACGTTCCGGAGTTTATTGCTC